TTTTTAATAAACCATTAAATATCCTGGCCATTGTTAATAACAAACCGGCCACGAGCCACTCATCGAGCCTTACTAATCTACCTGACCGACCTCCCAGTTATTTTCAAATACTAGCGCTAAAGCGGCTGGGATGTTGATGTGATTCCCCTTTTCAAATTCATGATTTTCTACAGAAATTATACCTTTTGACGCCATTTTCGAAATTAATTATTTTCGAGAAGAATTTATACAATTGAAAGGACTTGGAAAATTGTATATGAAAAATAGTGTAACTCTCGGTGCGGCCGATCTCGGCGCTAGTTTACGGTGATGGCACCTCTCGTCCCTTTCTTACCTGTCCAAGAGTGAGAAGACAAATAAAAAGGAATACCCCCTCCTGGAAATCCGGCCACAGGAGCTGTAGAATGGCTCTTCTGTAACGGTCACGAAAATCCCTCCAGCCGGTCAGCGTCTCCAGTTTACATCAACAAGTGACGGTGGATAGTTCACTCCATTATCCCACCAAAAAAGCAAGGAAATCCCTCGTCCAAATCGCAAAAACAAATCCCCGCAAACATACACTGATAACCCAACGAAAAGTGGACATTTGATTCGAAGATATTTTCCCATAACTTGCACGAGGAAACGAGAAACGAGAGATATCGTTGATCCAGTGGAATAAATCAGCGTCATCTGACATTTCACCCGTTGGAAATAGATTTCCATTATCGATTGTTATGGGAGAGTGGTGAGAGGTGAAAAAAAAAGAAGAGAGTTCAGTGGAAGGATCCATTATTTTGATTTTTCTTTACGTAGTGCAACGAGAGGCAAAGGACGCGCAGGGCAGAGAGAGATCGAGTCAATAATTTGGTGAGATAGTGTCTTCAAACTCAGAGTAGACTCTCCCCAATTTTCCTGGTGAAATCCCCTCTTCTTATTTGGCCCGACCTTGTTTAATGTCACATACACTCCAACAGTGATAACGATAAGGCAGTGAGAAATAGGAATAAAATTGAAAAATATATGAGCCAGAGGTGAACGGCAACACAATGTGTCTCGTGAGATCGATTTGGACTCCCAGTGCTCTGGGAATATTCCACATCCCGGAAGGAATAATCCCGGCGTGAAAAGTTGAGAATAAAACCTGTGATTGAATGAGTTATTTAGATAATTAATAATGACGGATTTATTGATTGGAATGGCCGGAAGTGGCTTTCACAGTGGCAATGGCTCAGCTCCGAGCAATGGTGAAGTGGTATTTAGAACGAGAAATCCGGGAATTTACAGGAATTCTGAGATGAGGCATTCTAGGAGTGAGGATGTTCTCGGAGGTGGGGGTCCTGGCGCACCCACCAGGACACCCAGTCCTCTGCTCCATGAACAGGTGTGCGCATCAGAGGATGATCTCGTTGCCTCCAGTGCCCTCAGGGATTCCTCATCCAATTCAAGTCTTCTGCAGGGAAATTTCTGCTCCTACACCAGGAGAAACAATGCGTCACCACCTCCCAGTTTTGCTACTGATAGAATTGACCCCGAGGACTCCATTCGTGATATTGTCAGTGAAAACGATCTCTACAGGTAATTCTGCATTTTTATCGAATTTTCAGTCGTTAAATAAATAATTTTATACTCTTTTTGTATCTGGATGGATCCATTGTATTCTAATCGAAATTGAATTACAGAAGTTCGATTATAGTATTTTTAGAGGATTCTTGTATGTGCACTGGGAAAAGAAGTAATTTTTTCTGAATATTTATTTCTCTAATCAGTTTTGTTATCACAACCTTCTTT